GGCCTCAGCAGAAATGTGGAGTTAGGACACAGATCAATCATAATCTCATTGATTTGACAGAGCAACAGGGGCTGAATGGCCTACTGGAGCTCTAATGTTACCCAAACCTGTTACTATTGGCTACTTTTCGAGCTATTGTTAAAAATCCCCCATTCACCGTTCTGCTGCAATGCTGGCCTGCAGCCGAGAACATTCTGAAGCAAAGATACTGAGGGTTAGTATTTCTGGGTCAATCTAGTGCTGTAACATTGGCTGAGGAGGTTTTAGAGATCAGGAGAGAGCCTGCTCAGTTCTCCCATATCCCAGCAATCAAACACCCCAGTGTCACGAACACATATATTTTCTCTACTTGTCTCCTGGGTATATAAGAGTTGTATAACTCCTGCCTTTGCATGACCATAGTATCACCGAAATGCTGTTGAAATATTTCATTTTACGCTCATTATCAGGATAGAATGGCAAAAATGCCAAACTTCAAAGGGAACAACAATTTATCCTACATGAGAAATGGGTGCTCACGGTTGGCAAGTTGAGACCTTGCGCTTGGGAATGCATTGGGGAACAGTTTGACCCCAATGACTTTGTTTAATTGAGAAAGTTACAAAGCCAGGGCATGTTTGTTCTCCTGGCAGAGGAGGCAACCCTGTGCCTAAGTAAAAGTCACTTCATGCCAACATCAAGTGGGCCTGACTGACAATCTTCCACTGAACCAAACAGAGTCAACTCTCCAACCAATTGGCACCCTTCTCCCCTGCACTACAAATTGTTGTTCCCTTTGCAATTTAGTCAGAAGTCACACAACACCAGGTTATAGTCCAACAGGTTTTATTTGAAAACACAAGCTTTCAAATCACTGCTCCTTTTGTTGGGTGAAGTGGAGGGAAGCAGACAAATTCTGTGTCTGTGCACTTCCCTCCACTGACGATGGAGCAGCGCTTTGAAAGCTTGTAATTTCAAATAAACCCGTTGGACTATAATCCAGTGTCATGTGACTTCTGACCTTGCCCATCCCAGCCCAACACCGGCACCTCCACATCATTGAAATTTAGTATTCTTGCATCGGTGCTGGTGAGTGCAAGATGGCTCTTTTTCTCCGCGCAATACCTAAATAAATTCTATACCACCAAGTGACTACTTATTACAACAGTCAGCAGAGACAGGTGATCTTCCATCAATATTTGTACCAACAGGAAGGTGACTGAGAGAGACCCCAGGTGAGTACAGATGTGCCAGATAGAAGAGGCATAGTGAGCTTTTGAAAAATATATGTACACATTGGCATTCATTTGACAAGAGCATTTCACAATTCATTTCGAGGAAGAAAGATTTTAATTTTATACAGCATTTTTCAGAGACTCAATGTCTCAAAGTGTATTACAGCCAACCAAACACTTCTTGTAGTGTACTCACTGTTGGGATGGAGGAAACAGAACAGCCAATTTCTGTACAGCAAGATCCCACAAACAACTGTGTCAAAATGTCCAAATGATCTTTGTATTATTGTGACATTGATTGTGGCCAGCACCAGTACCTCAGGGATGTCTCATTTGCTCCTCTTTGAAATAAAATCAAAGGAAGACAATACTTCCACCCAAAAAACAAGTGGGGGGGCCTTGGTTTAATGCTTCATCAGAAAGACAGAACCTCCAACAGCCCTGCAATCACTCTGTATTGCCATGGAATATCAACTTGGAGTCCTGGAGTGGGGCTTGAAATTTTGAAACAGCGGAAATAGGAGCAGGAATAGGCTACTCAGCACTTTGAGTGGTCTCTGCCACTCAGCTGATCATTCAACTCAGTCCTCTGTTCCTGCTTTCTCCCCCATACCTTGTGATCCCTTTAGCCCTAAGCACTATATGTAACTCCTTCTTGAAAACATTAAATGTTTTAGCCTCAACCGCTTTCTGTGGCAGGGAGTTTCACAGGCTCCCCACTTTCTGGATCAAGTCATTTCTCCTCATTTCAGTCCTAAATGGCCTATCTTGTACCCTTAGACTGTGACCCTTGTTTCTGGACCCCCTGGTCATCGGAAACATCCTTCCTGTGTCTATCCTCTCTAGTTCCATTAGAATTTTATAGGTTTCTATGAGATCTCCCCATTCTTCTAGTGAATATCATTCGAGACAATCCAGTCTCCCTTCATACATCAGTCCTGCTGTCCTAGGAACCTGGAAACTTCAGATTCAGAGGGAAGAGTGCTGCCCACTGAGCCATCACTGACACATCAAGCCTGGACTATGGGAGACATAGGAGATGTCAAGACATGGAGAGAGGAGAACTTTTCCAGGGTTCTCAGTGAATGTGGAGAGACTGGAGAAGTTGGGATTGTCTTCCACAGACTGAAGACGTTTAAGTGGAATTTTAAATCACGAAGGACAGACGGGGAATAGTCTAGTAGTAATGTCACTGGACTAGCAATCCAGGATCCCAGGCCATTGTTCTGGAGACATGGGTTTGAATCCCACCATGGTAAATGGTGAAATCTGAATTCAATAAAGAGCTGACCTATTGGTGAACTTCCAGCCATTGTCCATTGATGCTCAAAACACATCTGGTTCATCTCAGATTCTCTAGCATCTGCAGTTCCTACTATCTCTGGTTCATTATAATGCCATTTAGGGAAGGAAATCTGATGTGGCTTCCAGACCCGCAGCAACGTAGTTGACTCTGAGCTACCCTGTGAAACGACCCAGCACAGCCACTCAGTTATATCACACTGTGAGAAAGTTTCAAAGGAATGAAACCACACCAGTCCCCTCGAGTCAACCTAGGCACTGAAAGAGACAACGACAGAAACAGCCCTGTCAACCCTGCAAAGTCCTGCCCACTAACGTCAGGGGACTTGAGCTAAAGTTCACAGACTAGTCAATCAACAGCCTGATATCGTCATACTGACAGAATCATACCATGTAGGCAACAGGATGGACAATAGACACTGGCCTAGATAGTGACAACCAGCAGCTGACCAGACTGAAGTGAATTCATCATCATGTCATAGAACCTCTACTGTGTGCAGCAGGCCATTTGCTCCATCGAGTCCACACCTCTAAAGTGCATTCCCCCCAAGACCCACCCCATCTCAGTAACGGCACATTTACCCTCGCCAATCCACCTAACCTGCACATCTTTGGACTGTGGGAGGAAACCGGAGCACCTGGAGGAAACCCACGCAGACACGGGGAGAATGTACAAACTCCACACAGACAGTTGCCTGAGGGTGGAATTGAACCCGGGTCCCTGGCGCTGTGAGGCAGCAGTGCTAATCACTGAGCCACCGTGCCAAATTGTTGGAAGTGGATTAAGTTGGAGATGATCACCTTTGAGTAACGTGTTGCTCTGAGATTAGGTAAAACATATGATTTAATGTGAACTATAATGCAAAGGGGAGGTGACAGTACACACAGGCTTGTTTTATGCTTGCACTTGGGAAAAGGCAAGTTTACAACTGCTCAGTCATGTGGGGTTTTCTTTATTGATGAGGGTATCACTGGCTAGGCAGCATTTATTGCCCATCCATAATTGCCACAGAAGGCAAGTGAGAGTCAACCACATTGCTGTGGGTCTGGAGTCACGGGTAGCCCAGTCCAGGTAAGGATGGCAGTTTTCTTCCCTAAAGGACATTAGTGAACCTGATGGGTTTTTCCTGACAATCGATAACTATTCATAGTCATCATTAGACTCTTAATTCCAGACTTTTATTGAATTCAAATTCCACCACCTGCCATGGCCAGATTCAAACCGAGTCCCCAGACATTACCTGGGTCTCTGGGCTGACAGTCCAATGATAATACCACAAGATCATCATCTCCCCAGTTTAAACAAAGATATCATAGGCAGGCATGCCAAATGGCAGAATGGCATGTTTATAACCCACTCTGTCTTTGACAGGGGTGTCCAATCACCTTCATTCCCTTGCTCTTTCTCTACAGAATTGTTGCAACTCAGAATGAGGCCATTCAGTGGTCATGTCTGCACTGGCTTTCTTTATGAGCAGCTCACCAAGTGCCATTCTCACCCACTTTCTCCCCTGTTATTCTGCACATTGTTCCTTTTCAGGTAACCACCTATTTCCCTTTTGAGTGCCTTTGAGGCAATGCATTTCAAAATCTAACCACTCACTGTGAGTAAAATTGTTTCCTCACATTGCTTTTGCTAATTATGTTATACCTGTGCCCTCTCTCGTTCTTGATCCCTTCACCAGTAGAAACCATTACTCCCTATCGACCCTGTCCAGATTTCTCATGAGTTCTGAAAATCCTCGATCAAATCTCTCAGCCTTCTCCTCTCTGAGGGATACAATTCCAAGATCTATAACCGATCTCTGAAGTTACTCATCCATGGAGCCATTCTCAAAAATAGTTCTGCAAATTCTTCCATTTCAAGTGTTTGACAAATTCCCTTGCAAAAGTTCCTATCAAACCTGCTTCCACCCCTTTTCAGGCAGTGTGTTCCAGACTGCAACAGTTTGCTGTATAAAGGTGTTCCACACAAGAACAGATAAAATAGGAACAGGAGTCAGCCATTCGGCCCCTTAAGCCTGCTCTGCCTTTCAAGAGGATCAAGGCTGATCTAATTTGTGGTCTTATCACCACATCCTTGCCTGCTCTGCATAACCATCAAGTCCGTGATCAATCAACAATCTGTCTAACTCATCCTTGAATATATTTAATGGCCCAGTCTCCATTCCTCTCAGCAATGGAGAATTCTTAAGACCAATGACATTCTTTGAGACAATCTAAGCATCTAACTTTGATGTTCAATGGCATTACCATTACTGAAACCCTCACAATCAACATGGGAAACACTACCCCCGCCTGCACATTCCTCTCCAAGCCACTCACCATCCTGACTGAGAAATATATCATCGTTCCTTCACTATCACTGGGGCAAAATCCTGGAATTCCCTCCCTAAGGGCGCAACCTTCAGCACATGGACTGCAGTGGCTCAAGAAGGCAGCTCACCACCACCTTCTCAAGGGGCAACTAGGGATGGGGCAATAAATGTCGGACCCAGCCAATGATGTCCACATTCTGTGAAAGAGTTTTAAAAATTCCAATAATTTAAAAAATATTTCATTTCACTTAAAAAACATGTTCTTTTGTGTCCAACAAATGATGACAAAAATGTGTTCAGTGTCCATGGGACTCTAAATAAGACAAGAAAGTCGATATTCCTAGTTGATCTTAACCATTGTAACTGACTTCAATCCCTTCTGTTTCTGATACGTCTAGTTGTGGTTTAGTCAATCAAAAAGTAATTCTTCTGTCGAGTCCCTTTTCTCCACAGATGCATCCTGACTAGCTAAGTGTTTCCAGAATGTACTGTTTTTATTGCACGTCTTTGTCCCTGCAACCTAATGACCTTGTGTCCCTTCCTGTAACTTGCTGCACAGCTGCAGGCAAGATTTGTTGACAAAAGTATTCCAAGTTGATTCCCTTATTATCCCACACCCATCCCATCCCATCGACTGCTAAATTTCCAACAAAATCCCTGACATGGGGAAATGGTTTGGAAGTCAATCTCATCCTGGAGTCCCTGGCATCCTTTCTCTGTATGAATTTGCCTCTCCCCGTGAGGTCAGAGACATTTACAGGAGGTAAATTGGCCTCTTTCTGTTTGCGAAGTCTTTTGTGTAGTATTTACGTTCACTAGACACCCCTCTCCAACTCCCGGTTCCTTGAAAATATAACGTATGCGTGGGAGAGTTGTGGTGCGGACAAAGGGTTGGTTATCGACAGGAGCTTCTGCCTGCTTACGATGTTAAATTTCTATAACCCGAGCTCTCGATGCTTTCCCTTCTGATCGAATGGTGGTCATGAGGGCGATGGAAAATTTGGAGTCACTGCTGCGAGGCTGGGTCAGCAGTCAGTCCAGAGATTGGCCAACCTTGACCGATCCACGCTCACCACGTACTCTCCCGATAAAGACCAGGAAACTGCATTAATGGAAGATCTGGAGAAAGAGAGAGAGAGAGAACACATCATTCCTTAAGAAGTCAAGTATGATTTTAATGCTGCAAGGTAGGGAAATGGAGTGCACGTGGGTAATGGGCGATCATTTGGGAAAGCTCAAGTAATGGAGATGGAAAGAGACGTTGGTGGGGGATCAGGAATGTTGCTTGTGATGAAAGTCCATCTCTATTGACCCTGGAAAAAAAAAGTCTCTCAAAAATGTGAACAGGTTAAGGAAGGGTGGCTGCAGAAGCGGTGCTTCCCACTAACAGGACGCTGCTTTCAGTCCAAAAAAACTGCACAGCTGAGCAATATCATGTGTGCCTTTCAAGGCCAAGAACGTAAGCTGTACGCCCCAGTGACCAGGCCGCTCAAATCCAGCATGTTCCTTCAGTTCTTCATTGGAGGTACATACCATACTCAACCCACGCCCGCCTGCAAAACCCGAAACAAACCATCGGCCGTTAGGTGTGATTCTCCATTTGGGAAACAGTTACTGAACAATCCCAAGTGTGCTCGTACTGACACCAATAACCAATTTAAGATAGCCAGTTGAACTGCTGATGTGGCTTAATTGCAGCAGCACAGTGCTTAGCAGGGAGGAGACTTAGGGACCCAGGTTCGATTCCAACCTTGGGTGACTGTCCTTCCACCAACATAATTATAACAAAGGGAGATAGCCGTGTGGGGGTAATGTCACTGGATAGAATCCAGAGGCTAATGTTCTGGTAAGATAAACAAAGGAATTAACATTCAATGCACAAAATCTGGAGTTGAAACTTAGTCTCTGTGACGATGACCATATAAAGTTAGCATAGTCCTACCAGATCATAGGGCTGCTCACTCATTTGAGGTTTGTTTACATCTATGTACATACACATAGAAGATTTTTTTATTTTATTAGATGGTAAAGCACCATTGAGAGAGACAATTGGTGGTTGTTTAACCTTAGGGTCACCATGCTTCAGGCGAAGGGAAAGTTGGGAAGTTGGGGGCTTCATGGTAACCACAGCCTCAGCCTCCTTTCTTTTGTTTTCCTATGTTAAAGGCACATATAAATGGCAGCTGTTGTTCTGGAACTCTGGAGGGAGGGGCTCAGAATTAATTTGACTCTCTGACCTCCCTCAAGCCATGATCCAGAAGGTTGCAACTTGGAACAATGAGACCATAGACTCCTTTCACATACCTGTGTTGTCCAACCAAAGAAGTCTCCAGTTTCCCAGTGAGGGTGTCCCAAACATAGAGAACTCCATCAGATGATCCCACTATAGCGTAGCTCCCATCGGGGCTGAAAGAACAGGAAAGGACAAGTCCATTAAAACTACTGACAGCATATAGTGCCCAAAAGCTTCAGGATATTTACATTTGATGGAGTCTCTTTGTGCAAAAACTTTCCCCCACATTCCCCCCCACCTCTCTCTCTCTGCAACCTCCTTCATATTTACAAACACTTGCCTTTAGATCAGTAAATCCAGGAATCAAGTCCCAAGCCAGAGAACTGACGCACATAATCCATTCTGCGACTCCCAGCTCTTAGGGAGTGCTGCACTGTTGGAGAGTCAGCACTGATGGAGCACCGCACTATCGGAGGGTCAGCGCTGAGGAAGCGCCGCGCTGTTGGAGGGTCAGCGCTGAGGGAGCGCCACAGGGTCTGAGGGTCAGTGCTGAGGGAGCGCCACAGGGTCTGAGGGTCAGTTGCTGAGGGAGCACTGCACTGTCGCAGGGTCAGCGCTGAGGGAGCGCCACAGGGTCTGAGGGTCAGTGCTGAGGGAGCGCCACAGGGTCTGAGGGTCAGTTGCTGAGGGAGCGCTGCACTGTCGCAGGGTCAGTGCTGAGGGAACGCTGCAGGGTCTGAGGGTCAGTGCCAAGGGAGCTCCGCAGGGTCTGAGGGTCAGCGCCGAGGGAGTGACACACTGTTGGTGGGTCAGTGCTGAGGGAGGGCCGCATTGTCAGAGAGGTTGTCTTTCAGATGAGAGAAGCCTTGTACCCAACATAAAAAGAGTCTCCCACAGTTTTCTGTTGGTGTTCAAACAGTCAGGCAGTGGTTAAGGGAGGACTACGACTGATCGGAGACTAAATGATTATTTACACCTGGAGAAAGGGCACAGCCCAAGTGTTACTTGGTTAATTTGTAGCTGTCTTTCCAGAAGCGCAAGATATCGGTCCGGCCACAGTGATAGAGGAGGATACTCAGTCACTAGAAAGGTTTAGAACGACGTAGAGTGAGTCTCGGATAGATTGTTGGGACTTAACACTGACACAACACCAGGACCAGATGACCTGCATCCAAGGATAATGATGTGAGTGTGGAAATTGCAGAAGCCCGAGCGAGAATCTTCCAGTTTTCCCTACGTGTGACAGAGGTGCCAGAAGACAGGAGAATTGCAAACATTACCACCTTGTTCAATGGTCTGCAAGCTTCTGAAGACAATTATTCAGGACAGAATGAGTAAGCACATGGAGAAATGCTGGGTCGATTAGAAAGCAGGAATTGTGTTTCTGGAGTTTTCTGAAAAGGTAAAAGAGAGGGTTTTTGAGGGTAATGCAGTTGATGTGGTGTGCATGGATTTCTAGAAGGTGTTTGATACAGTGCCACACAACAGACTTGTGAAGAAATACAGAGGTCATGGTATAAAAGGGACAGTAACAATGTGATACCATGCCAGCTGAGGAAACAGAGAGTCGTGGTCAATGGGTATTTTTCAGGCTGGAGGATTGTTTATAGTGGAGTTCCCCAGGGGTCAGTATTGAAAGCTTTGCTTGTCCTGACTTATATTAATAACCTGGATCTTGCTGTGCAGGGGACAATTTCAAAGTTTGCGGATGGCGTTAAACTTTGGAAGAATTGTTAACAATGAGGAGGACAGTGTGGGTCTGCAGAAGGACATTGACAAGCTGGTGAGGTGGGGGGATTGATGGCCGATGAGGTTCACTTCCAGCACCCCACCCCACCCCACCACCAACCCCCCACCCCAACCCAGCTTCCTATACCTCAGCAAACAAAGGAAATGATTCCCTTTGCCTTCTGAACCACCTTATCAATCTACCCTGCTACCCTCAAAGATTCTGTGACATTCACTCTGGGGTGCCTCTATACCTGTCAATATTCTCCCATTAATGGTATGTTCCTTTGCCTCGTTTGACTTTTTCAAAAGTATCCCTTTTATCATTTTTTGCGTTGAAATCTATTTGCCACCTATCTGCTCACCTGGGCAGTCCTTTTAGGAAGGACCCCTTCGCCAGTCTAGCCTACATGTGACTCCAGACAGAGGCTGACACTAAGTTCCAATGGTCAGAGCCAGTGCAAGCATGAATGGGCCAAATGGCCTCCTTCTGTACGATAACATTTCTGTGGCTTAGGTGAAGACCCTCAACTGCCCTCTGATCTGGCCCTGGCCAGTCACTCAGATCAAGGGCGATTGGGAATGGGCAAAAATGCTGGCTTTGATACCCAAACAGGAAAAGTTAAATAAATTTCCAATTTCTCTATCTTTAGGGCAAGCCAGGAGGGAGTTAGAACCATTCAGTCGAGGAAGACTTTGCAAAGAAGTGATGTGTCTTCAAATGCCAGTGGTGGAGGGGGGAGCGAAGGAGGTTTGGGAGGGCGAGAAGCAGAGTGATTCAGTGTTGGGAAATGATCGAACATCACGTTCATCCAGGGAGCAAGATGCAGCACCAAGTGGGCAGAATCTGGTTGACTGCCATTGCTGTAAATGGCGAGATAAACATGGAAACCCAAATCTGATTTCTATTGATCTGTTGAGGAGTGGCTTTTAACTAAGAATGGTTACCATGGTACCGGAAGTGGTATTTTGGCATCTTGTGTACGTGTAAACCAATCACAATTACGACCCAGTAGTAACTCAGGTTCCAAAAGCCATAAAAAAGCCCCAAAGCCTGTCCACCATCTACAAGGCGCACGTCAGGAATGTGATGGAATACTCTCCACTTTCCTGGATGACAGCAGTGCCAATAAAACTCGAGAAACTCAAAGCCAGCCAGGACAAAGTAGCCCACTGGGTTGGTGCCACATTCAGTCACTCTATTACCTCCAGTTCCAATGCATAGTGGCAACAGTGTGTTCCATCTACAAGAAACACCATAGCTACTCACTCAGGCTCCTTAGACCTCATCTTCAGGTAACTCAGGCTCCCAAGTAGGAAATATATTATGTTGCTTCATTGTGACTCTGCCAAAGTCCTGGAACTCCCTCCCCTGAAGGGCATTGTGCCTGCAACGCATGGACTGTAGCAGCTCAAGAAAACAGTTCAACATCACCTTCTCAAGGGCATTCTCTTGAAGTGTATAAGGGGTGTAGGGGGTATTCTTAAGAGGGAAATCAGGAGGGCTGAAACGGGATAGGAGATAGCCTTGGCAGATAAGGGTCAGGATAATCCAAAGAGATTTTACAAGCACATTAAGAGCAAAAGAGCACCTAGGGAGAGAATAGAGCCCCTTAAAGATCAACAAAGTCATCTATGTGTGGAACCACGAGAGATGGGAGAATTGCTAAATGAATATTTTGCGTTCGATTTTACTGTGGAGAAAGACATGGAGGCTAGGGAACTCAGGGAAACAAATATTGGTGTCTTGAAAAGAATCCAGACTACAGAAGAGAAAGTGCTACAGGTCTTAAAAAGCATAAAGGTGGATAAATCTCTGGGACCTGATCAAGTGTATCCTCCAGGATGTTGTGGGACGTTAGGGAAGAAATTGCAGGGTTCCTAGCAGAGATATTTGTATCATCGAGACAACAAGGTGCAGGGCTGGATGAACACAGCAGGCCAAGCAGCATCATAGGAGCAGAGAGGCTGACGTTTCGGGCCTAGACCCTTCATCAGTCTACTATAGTCTACTATTTGTATCATCGATGGGTGAGGTGCCAGAGGACTGAAGGGTGGCTAATACTGTGCCTTTATTTAAGAGAGGCTGTAAGGAGAAGACTGGGAACTATAGACCTGTGAGTTTGACATCAGTGGTGGGTAAGTTGGTAGAGGGGATTCTGAGATTCAGGATTTACATGCATTTGGAGAGGCAAGGACTGATTAAGGATAGTCAGCATAACTTTATGCATGGGAAATCGTGTCTCACAAACTTGACTGAGTTTTTTGAGGCCATAGCCAAATAGATTGATGAGGGCAGAGCAGCAGACGTTGTCTACATGGATTTTAGAAAAGCCTTGACAAGGATCCACATGGTGGACGGATTAGTAAAGTTGGATCACATGGGATTCAGGGAGAGCTTGCCAATTTGATAAAAATCAGTTTGATGGAGCTGCTGTGACCTCTGTAAGGGTTGGGGTTAAGTACAAGACTTCAAGTTGACACAAGTAGTGGGGTACCAAGGGTGCACTGCACCATCAGAGATGACATCTGACAGGTAAGGCATCAAATTGAGGCCCCTATCTGCCCTCTCAAGAGGTTATATTTGGAAAAACTGGACAATTCTCCCCAGTTTCCTGGGCACCAAATTGCCCTGAAACAGATGAGCCAGTAATTATCACATTGTTCTTTGTGGAAGATAACTGCGTGCACATTTCCTACAGTACAACAGCGACTATATTTCAAGAAGTATTTCATGTGGGTGAAAGTGCTTTGAGACACCATGAGGTTGTAAATGGTGCTACATAAATGCAAGCCATTCTTCATCTTCCCTCAAGCCTAGACAGCTCTACATTCCCTTCTCTGTGCCCTGACAAAGCCAGTAATGCTGACAATAGTTCTGAGGAAGGGTCACTGGGCCCGAAACGTTAACTCTGACTTTTTTCTTCACAGATGTTGCCAGACCTGCTGAGCTTTTCCAGCGACTTCTGTTTTTGTTCCTGATAATGTGCTTCCTTGGATTGGGAAAGCTATGGGTAATTCTAACCAGTGTTTCACAAGACCAGTCTGATGTCTTTCGAAAAACAGTTCCACACTAACACCAGACACAGAGCAACAAGACTGTGACTCACCTGAAAATTGCCTTGGTCCAATCAGCTCCACACTTAAACCCTTCAGCTCTAAAAAGAAAGGCAAAACAAGGAAATGGGTAAGAAACTCCCTCATTATTTTTTCACAGGATCAAGACACAAGCTTATCACGCAAGAGAAAAATAAAATCAAACAAAGCTAGATACACAGAAGGCAATGAAAAGGATGTTAACAGAAAAGCCAGTCAGAAGCTGGGAATACTGCAGCGAGTAACTCATCTCCTGACTCCCCAAAGCCTGTCCCACCATCTACAAGGCACAAGTCAGGAGTGTGATGGAATACTCCCCACTTGCCCGGATGGGTGCAGCTCCAACAACACTCAAGAAGCTAGGTCAGCATTTATTGTCCATTGCAGTTAAGAGACAAATACATTGGTCTGGGTCTGGAGTCACATGTAGGCCAGACCAAGATCGGCAGATTTCCTTTCCTGAAGGAGATGGGTTTTTCCTGACAATAGTTTCATGGTCTTCAATTAGACTCTTAATTCCAGCTTTTTATTGAATTCAAATTCCACCATCTGCCAAATCCCCAGAATATTACCAGGGTCTCTGGATTTATCGTCTAGCGATAACAACACAAGGCCATCACCTCCTCATTACCGCAGATTGAAGCCTCCAGTCTAGTACAGTCTGAGCAAATCTTCCCTACAGCCTCTCCAATTCCCTTGATGACTTCTAACGCAAATACCAAAATTAATGTTGGTTTGAGCTCCAGTTTCGCAGTCTGGCCACCAGGTGTACCTGAGCTCCTGCCTGGTTTCGTTCATCCGTAGATCCACCACCTTTAGCAGATCGTCGCGTGAACAGCTGAGTAACTGGGTCCGTTCGGAGTTAATGTCTAAAGACGTCACTTTTCCCTGCAGTGGGATCTCATCAGTCTTCATCCCAGACCTGCAATGAACAATACCAATAACTGTTATGACCCCAGCTAGTAATAATAACGGTCAAGGCAGATCCCAGAATGAAACCTGGCTTAAGATGACATTGGTTTTAAATTTTGCAGTTAGTTACTGTTGTTGTTAGTCACTACAACATATTCACAAGAGGCTGCAAGTGTTCTTTAAGAACTGAATATAAGCTTATCCCACCAAAGAAAAAAAATCAAACAATGCTACATATATAGAAAGCAGTAAGTTCTTAATGCAACATCAGGTCAAAAGCTGGGAATCCTGTAGCAAGTAACTCACCTCCTGACTCCCAAAAGCCTGTCCCACCATCTACAAGGCACAAGTCAGGAGTGTGATGGAATACTCCCCACTTGCCTGGATGGGTGCAGCCCCAACAACACTCAAGAAGCTCGACACCATCCGGGACAAAGCAGCCGTTTGATTGGCATCACGTCCACAAACATTCACTCCCTCCACCACCGACGCTCAGTAGCAGCATTATGTACAATCTACAAAATGCATTGCAGAAATTCACCAAAGATCCTCAGGCAGCGTCTTCCAAACCCATGACCATTTCCATCTAGAAGGACAATGGCAACAAATACAAGGGAACACCACCTCAAAGAACAAAGAACAAAGAAAATTACAGCACAGGAACAGGCCCTTCAGCCCTCCAAGCCTGCGCCGATCCAGATCCTCTATCTAAACCTGTCGCCTATTTTCTGTATCCCTCTGCTCCCTGCCCATTCATCTATCTACCTCCTGTAAGTTCTTCTCCAAGCCACTCACCAGCCTGACTTAGAAATATATCGCCAATACTTCAGAGTCACTGGGTCAAAATCCTAGAATTCCCTCCCTAAGGGTCAACCTACAGCAGGTGGACTGCAGCGGTTCAAGAAGGCAGCTCACCACCACCTTCTCAAGGGCAACTAGAGATGGGCAATAAATGCTGGCCAGCCAGCGACACGCATATCCCATGAGTAAATTTTTTAAAAACTCTCCTGAAAACAAAAAGGTCATGTGCGAGGGGGTTCGAGAGGAAAGAATGCAAAGAGCAGAACTGACATGGAGTTGTGGCCCAGGGAGAAAGCGAGAAGTGTGTTTACGTTTCACTGCAAAGGTTTGAGTAACAAATCCAGGCTGACACTCTGTTAGGTATTGGGAACACCGTACTGTCGCAGGGTCAGTGCCGAGAGAGCGCCGCACTGTCGCAGGGTCAGTGCCCAGGGAGTGCCGCACTGTCGCA